TATCTTAATAGGAATTACAATTTAAAAATCTTTTTTCACGTCAACACCAAACAGCAGTATTCAACAGTAAGGGTGCTAAAATAGGAAAGTAACAAAGAATCTTCTTATCATTTAAGGTGCATATCAACAGTGAAGCAAGAGTGGCCGATCACTGCAGCGTTTACGCTCTGAGTGACGATCCGAGTCTTCCTTCAGACAGCATTGCAGCACAATCACGAGGAGTTGTGTGATCAGTGTCATGCCCTCGATGTTGCAATATATGAAATTGGAACAGCCGCGCAAAATGCCGTGTTTCCTGACGAGGAACAACGTGATGAAGCTCTGTTCCTGTTCGAGGCGCCAAGAGATCAGTGCAGGCGGAAGGCGCATCAATTACGGTCCGTGACAGCAAGATAAATCGAGGCTGGATGTGCTTGAACTGTTGAACAACGACACCGTTTTATTGTTAGCGACTGGGCCATGAAATTCCTCCCTCAGCTATATAGAGAATCACAGCAAGACTGGTTCGGCAAGAGAGGGATTTCATGGCACATCGCTGTTGTATTCAGACGGGTGAACGGCTCCGAAATCCAGACACAGGCGTTTGTTCATGTTGTGCAGTCTTGTAGTCAGGACAGTACTGCTGTGGTGTTGATGATGCAGCACGTATTGAAAACACTGCACGAAGAATACCCTGAGATTACCAAGGCCCATCTTCGGCAAGACAACGCAGGATGCTACCACTGCACTAATACTATCCTTGCTTGTCGTACCTTTGAGCAGTCAATCGGTATCAAAGTTGTACGTATGGATTTTAGTGACCCCCAAGGAGGTAAGGGAGCGGCGGACAGGTTACGGCCACTTGCAAAAACCACATCCGAACGTGACATTAACGAGGGCAACAATGCCACAACAGCAGCGGAGATGAAGGAGGCCTTGTTATCCTATGGAGGAGTGGAAGGTGTCCTAGTTGCTATCCTGCCTTCAATAGAAGAAACTGTGGAGCTTGAAGATATCTGGAATAAGCAAGCTGAATAACTTTCTGTTTACGGAGGACTCCCTTCAAGCTTGGCGGCTTATGCGATCGGTCCTGGAAAGATCATAGCCTCGAAAAGGTTCCAGGTCAGTGTCATTTCTGGGAAGTTGAAAATAAAAAAGGGAGAATGTCCTTAACTGGTGGGGATAGCAGACTTCCGTTACTACCCCGTATGTAGGTATGGTACAAGCTATTGTCGCAGTATTTTGTAAAACCCAGCACGTAACCCAGAGACATAAGAGAAATATTTTTTTTCCTTTAATATAATTTTCTTGAAAATTTTGTTAACGCTCACTGATAAGGTTTTTGCTACTACACCTCAAGGAATTAATAAATTTTTTTTTTCAATTACTCATTTCAGTAACTCTGCTGTAACATATGCTTCATATTCCCACTCTTTTGACAGATGTGACCTATAACTGGCTTACTGTTTCTTTTTTTTCTGGTGGGTTTAAACCAATTACTCTAAAATCGGCTTCAACGCATGCTAGACTCCAGGCAGCCCCCAAGTTTCAAGTTCAGCAAAATAGCCCTGAAAGGTATCCGTCCAGTGTTTATTCGTGCCCTAAAGAAGGTTGTGTTGAAGTTTTTCAAAGAGCATCTGCCCTAGAACGCCACCTGTCGTTAGAGGCCTGTACCCTCTCCAGAAAGGCACACCCTGATGGATTTGGCCAAACATCAATACGCCGCCCTACAGGAGGGCGTAGGGCTTATTCCTGCACTGCGAGCAGTACCAAGCTCAGTTGGCAGTTCACATCAACGTGAGGAGGTCAAGGAAGGGTGGGCGCTGAAACAAGTGAAGAAACCATACCGTTTCAACCAAAAGCAGAAAACCCACTTGGAGCAAAAAGTTCAATATCGGCCAGTCCACCGGCAGTAAGATTGACCCTGCCTTTGTAGCGAAGGAAATGCGCGCCCAGGGGCAAAGACGGGAAAGGTTATTCGTTGTTTCTGAATTCCTGACACCACAGCAAGTGTCCTCCTTTTTCGCGACTGGCACTAAAAAGTCGGCCAGCCACAGGTTGAGGTCTCGAAGAGGACGCCTTAGCTGTAGAGGAGCAAAGCAATTTCGCTACTGCAAAAGAAAATGTGCTTTCTTCCTGCAGCTCCGTCATCCCATTGTTGTTGACCAGTACAACGAATGTTCTCTGGTCAACAATAAATCTGAGTTTCGAAAAACCAGGTGGCACTGCTCCAACATCTTTAAGTAACGCTTAGAGCTGAATACATCTGTACCAGCAGTGAGGAGGAAGGCCCCATATGTGGAACTTTTAGAAGAAGTTGTAAATAGCTGCTGTTGTAACCCCGAAAGTGAACAAATTAGCTTACTCCCAGTGACTGGAGCTACACTGATTTTCTCATGTAATTCAAGTTAAGTTTTATTTGTTCGCGATTCGTGGTTGTTAACCCTCGGACGTACACGCAAATTCATACCCCCCGCCGTGGGTACAACCGGGGAGGGGAGGGGATGGATAGAACCCCTTCCGGGAGTTTTTGATATGTTGCAGTATTTTTGAAACGAGTTTACCTTTAGTGGAAAGCCTTTGCTCTTCTCAACAAGGTGAGGTATATTTTATGGGTAGTGGCGCTGCTGGAGGCCTGTGACGTCACCAACAATGGTAGCCATCTTGGCCACCATCTTGGATTTTACCAAGAAGTAGAAATCAGGCCAAAACCGCGAGAAATGGTAATGTTTTGTGATTTACATGAAAAATAACACATAAATAAGTACTTTGCAGGATTTTAGCCACAAGATATACTTTTATTGTTAAAAGAAGTTGAAAAAACAAGTATTTTCACCCCAAATTGGCTTGACCACCTGCTACTTGTGACGTCATATTTCGTAACCATAGCAATTGACCACGACCAAACTTGTCTCAAAACCTGCGCGAGGGATGAACGAACAGCTACTGAAAACGTCAGATGTTTTATTCTTTAGGAAAAAACTCAGAAAAACCTAATGGGGGCGGGGTGGCATCCACTCCCCCTTCTTGTACGTCCGAGGGTTAACATCCCAAGACTATTATTCACGTGTGGATGAAAGGGGTTTTGGAATTTGGTGTTGATCTAACAAGCGCATTTAAAACTTTGACTTAAACGAACGATAACTTCGGAGCAATATTGCAATATACACATTACCGTTCTTTCAAAAGTAGACTGAGTACACTTCAACACTTACTCGTAAAAAAATTCTTACCAGCAGTAAAATGAAAATATTTTATATAGTTTCATTTTATTGCCAAATGATACCTGCAGGTCTTTCAAATTTTCATACCCATCGAAAAATCGAAAAAAATTTGTAGCTCATTCATTCATTATTATTCATTGTCATAGTTCATAATTGCGCCTGTAATGACAATGGAGCCACCTTGGGTCCCTTGGGCGTAACCCGTAAACAATGGTTTGATTTGAACGTGATTTGTGAACTTTTAAGTTGACTTCATTATCAGCGAATTTGGTAAGGCAAAAAGATCTGTTCAATAGCCTTCTTTTTTCAGGCAGACAAATGTTAGCGTGTATAAAGACTGCCTTAAGTCAATTAGGTGATAAGTAGTATATTGTCCTAGATTTCCAGGAAAACCAGTTACTTTTGGAGCGAAAAGAAGTTAGTTAAAACTTGAGTTCAGTTGAATTCAGGCATTTTTCAGTTTTCGGAGAATTACCCAATTGTTAACGTATACATAAGCCTGAAGAAATTTCTGAAATGATTCTAACGCGTAAGAAGTTTCTGCAATATTTTGACGTGAAGCGTTTCGCAAATGGACATAGGGTACCCTTTAGCCTTAATAGAGGGTCTTTAATAGAATGACAGCAACTTGAATTGTACCAAGTGATATATTTTCCTCACCATATTCTATTTATTTTGTCTTCAAATTATTTGGGATGGTTTTTATCTGCTCATTTCCCAATATGAAGAATTATCAGTTTGAATCTAAGTAGTTTGCTGTTTCAAAATGAACAAACGAGAGAAATTTTAATTCCATGCTCAACTTTTATTTTGTATGTGGATTACGTGTGGTCACCTATTCTGCATGACAGAGATATCTGTACACTGAGCGAAGTTAGGGTTAGTTAGTTTATTACAAGCAAAGACAGGTACAACAAAAAGGTTTTACACCTCCTGATTTTTTTTCCTTCTCGGTTCAAGTTTGTTGCACATTTGAAAATCAAATATTTACAGTGTAGCAGAAAATCGCCCGGTAGTTTAGTTCGATTGACAGGTTTTGTGGAAGTTATAAAACTACTGAAAACAACAAGAACCGGTGCTTTTTAAAGCATTTTACGTATTCTTTTTACACTCGGGCGTGATTTAGCTTTGTCTGCAGAGTTGCGTGACCAGACTCAAATCACACACGATACTTTCAACAGCATACGGTTTATAAAGTCGCTCAGTTTTAAACGACCAAGTCAGGTGTAAACAATTTTTAAAAGTGTTTCAGTGAATTGCGGCTATTTGCAGTTGAAATGACTGAGGTAAGAAAATTCCTATAGATCTGGTGTCCCATTCAGAAATACCACGCCGTTTTTAGCGGCTTTTACTTAAAAGTTAGAAACTCAGGGTCAATATTTACACTACCAGAAGTGCGTTGTCTTCTTGAATGTTGCATGCAATCACCCAATCAAATACAGTGTTAATCTACATAGCCCTTTATAACAAACTGAAAGCATATTTAAAAGGTTTTAAGAAGTTTTCGCATTGTGAACCTCTGTTAAAGAAGCTAAGTTGACAATAGCACTTTTCTACCCTCATTGCGGCTTGTTTGTGTCACCATTCCCACGTGCGAAAATATCCTCCACGTTTCGGTGTCTCAGCGACGCGCTTTTGTAATGCCGCAAGAGATTTTTTAACACAAGAAACAGCAAACAATTTGCTTGATAACAGTGTTTATTTCATGTTGAAATTCTATGTACCAATTGGGTTTTTTCGATGGTGAAGTTAGCCCAAATTTGCCATTTTTGAAAAGAGCCGAAAAATGAAACTTACTTTTTGAGGAATATGTATGTCAGCAAGTGCCCTTACATAAATTGGGCCATTTCCCATTACATGTTTTAATACTTTTCCTCCCAGCTCTTGATTGGGTTGCAAGGTAATTGATAGCAGTTCTGTTCCTATTGCTCTTACAAATTCAAAGCTGATAATGTAGAGGAAAATGCATTTGTTATCTTTAAATAATAACTATCACAATTAAGTTAGAGCATGCTCACATTTAACCACAAGGAGCCAAAGCAATTAGCTGAATGTACAAATATTATTGTAAAAATACCAGAAACTACACTTTTCCCAACAAGGGAATCAATTCACTCTTCAGCGGATTGAATAAGAATACTATATATATATATATATATCTACAGAGGGGAGATTTTTTGTAAAAATAGCCTGAGTATTAGGCCCTGTACTCAGGCTATTGTAAAGCCCATAATAAAGTCTATAAATAATTAATATTTAATAAAATATTTGATATTCAATAAAGTAAAGAAAATGTTTAAAAAAATGTTTTGATACATTAATTCCATTTCTAAGAATTCTTTATTTCAACATTCAGGTTATGTTTGCTTAAGGATTGAGCTCCTTGTGATTGGACCCCTCCTCTGGAAATTTGATTTTGGTACAATCTTTGTATACCTTGTGCAAAGAGCAGATAAAAAAGTTATAGGTATTGAATGTAGTACTTCCCAGGAAGGGAAATGGCTGCCAAGCGGCGATAGGAAACTGAACAGATCTGTAAAACAATCCCAGGAGAAACCATCGACAGTCTTATGCGCATTTAGAAAACACGACAGAGTTGGAATAATAATGATGATTTGGGATTTTCAGCATACACTAAGTCTTTCTTATGTACAAATATCTTGACAAGCTTACATCACATTTCAAAAACTTTTCAGTTGCGTTTAACTTAAGTTTAATTGACTTTTCGCTAAAAAATAATAACTTACTCATTTAGGAACAATTTGGATCGCATTATTTAGGTAATACTTACTCGATTTCTTCGCCATTCACAAATAGATAGTAGTGGAATAAACTAGAAACCTGGCTTCGAAGTTCTGCCTCGGACCAGTTCTTATCTAGCTGCCAGGCGTCAACGTACATACCACTGGACACAAGTTTGGGCTTTGCCTTTCTCCGAGGGACTTCCGTCCACTCGGGAGAAGGCAATAGGCACACATTTTTGTAGATTAGATCCGCTTTCACAGCTGGCGATTTCCCTTTTCGAGAAGTAGTCAATTTTCCCTTGTTCGAATGTACACTGTAGTTTTTTTTTAGCATTGAAATTATTGAAAACGCTTCCACGTTGCGTCGCCTGTCCTCGTGGAATTTGAAAGCTGTTGTTCAACTCATCCCCTACCGTAGATGCTGACGATCCTGACAAAGTTGCGCGTGGTGGAAGGCCTGCAGAGTTGGGCAGAGCACTTAAGTTTGCCACGACAGCCCTGACAATCTCTTGGATTGTCCTAGAGTCCCCGGGCCTAGAGTCACCCTTATTGTCCGCCATATTGACCAGTTCGAGTGAAGGGAAATCTTTTCGCGCCAAAATGCAGTTATGCAAACATCCCGTATGTACAGTGTAGCGAAACTCTTATCATTTCCAGTTCCTGTGTATTTTTACTTCCGCTTCCTTTCGAATTGAAATTTTGGTTTTTCGAATTCGAATATGTGGCATGACGTGAAGTTCAAATTGAAGGTTTCATTTGGATTTTGTCGAAGATTATGGTTGCATTGTTGACGATTAAGTGGCTTATTGGAGTGGAGAAGGTGAATTGAAGTTCAAATCATGTAATTTGCATTTTAGTTGGAATGGTGATTTGAACTTCAACATCAGCGATGTCGAGTTTTCCCTGAAAAGTTTCAACTTGTTCAAAGTAACTTCAAGTTCGAATGATGCCATTTCGACTACGTTCATTACGATTTCAAATTCATATGACGAGATTTCGACATGGATAGTCTAATTTTTGAAATTCAAATTGTATTTTATTTTCAATTATTTTTATCCGCAAATGCACGCCATACATAATCGATCGAATTGTAAGACGCCTTTGTTTACAATGGCCTCGCAATATAAAAAGAAGAAACTTTCGAAGTCAGAAAAAGAAATTGTATCAGGATAGAGGAAAGAAAGGGGCTGAAGCAAGAGGTCTTGGAACTGGATGTCGAATAGATTTTTCGCTTCCAGCGCAATGGACAACAGAAGTAACATCATACGACCATCACGATGCGCTGAAATATATTTCTCCAGGCAAAACGCTGTATCATAAAAGAAAAATGGATTTCTGCTTAGATAAGTCATCAGAGTCTTCGGGTAACGAGACAGATAACAAGGATGCAGACTTCGAGCCAGATCCATCCCCAAAACGGTGGAAAATGGTTCGCGAGGAACCTTTGCAGAATCCATTGAAAGTGGAGCGACAACTTTGTGTTTGTGAATCTTCGCAGATAATCCGTCTGATTGAGGAACCTCTCGTTGCTCTACACCCGATTGCAATGGTGTGTTTCATGAATTGTTGAACTGTTGCCGTTTTAATTTTTTGTAGTGTAGCTTTGAGTTCATTCAGGCCAGAAGGTGAATAATATTTTGGTGTTGTAGGTGTCATACAATCATCCGAATTTGAGGTCATTTCTCAGAACACATTTGAGGCAGTTTCATGAACTTCCTATCCTTGTTGTACGTAAAAAAAATGCTTGAAATTAATGATTGTGTCTTGAAATAAATGTCCCGACATTGACCTATCAACATTTTCCTTCATTTTGATAACTTAGCTGGCTAAATTCTTGCTTGTTTTATCAATGCAACAATAATTTAGTGCTTTACTTCAAATATTTCTAAGAATACCCCTCTACTACAACTTTTAGGTCAGCTGATACCCTCTAGAGTTGAGACAGTAGGCCTTGGTGGAACCATCAACATCACATTTCCTTGTACTGGGTGCCAGTTGAGAAGTGTCTCTTTTCAAGGGTCATCTATGGTTGAAGCATCAAGGAGATGAGGAAATATCCTGTGAGGGAAAAGCGTACTCCACCAAGTCAGTGCTAAAATGCGAGTTTCATCAGCTAGCCTACCAAACAGAATGTGAACTGCGAGCAAATGATGCTGAAGCTGTTATTCACCCTGAATTGGGAAGGGGACAGTCCAATTTGTGTGAGGCACATTTCACTGTCCTACCACATTTCAGAGCAAAGGACCAAAGCTTGTGCAGGTACGTACATGTGAACAATAACTTAGCCCAATTTATAGAGGACTTTTCTGAAAACAGCCTGTTGGTGATGGTAACTTTCTGTATAGACTATTGCTGATTGTGATTGGTTTTACTGGTAGTCTTGTTTCATGTTCTTCAGCATTTTTGCCAGTCTTACTCTTGATAATTCACATTTTCTTCAGAACATACTTTCTTTGAACATCATTACTATTATAAAATTATATGTGTTACTGTTATTATTATTGTTATTATTATTATTATCATCGTCATCATTATAAGAATTATCATTGTTGTAAGGCACATTATTTTCTTGTTTCCATGCAACAAAACAGAAAAATGAAATCTGAGAATGTCAGGAAAAATGGCTTTGCACTTTGTATGTTTGATCACTACTTATCTTGATTAGGCACTATTGGAGAGTTATTAGGAAAATGAGGAAATCAGAAGCACAGGAAAATTGACAACTGATTCCCTGATCATGATTTCTCCATAGGTTGCATTACATCACATCAACAAACTGTGGACTTGCACAGGGAAACATGACATGGTGTTTTAACCATCGTGGATCTGACTACCACTGGATTGTTGATTTATACGAGCGCATGAATCTGCCTGTCCTACCTAAAGTTGTCCGTGCTTTTCAAAAAGCCACTAAGGAGCGAATGACGGAATTGGAGAAGAAGAAGACTGATGAAGCGAAACAAAAGAGGGTCTCACAAAAAATTGCCCGTTCAGAAGACCAAGAAGAACGAAAAAAATGGGTCAAGCGGCAAGCCATTCTTTACACATATGGTGCGGAGGATAAGGATGATGGCAGTGAAGAGGACAGAACCTTGGTCCAAGAAGCTGAGCACTTAATGGGAGGCGAGGAAACAGTGATGGTTAGTGGACGGAAATGTAGGTGTGGTTCAACGACTCACTTGCGTACCTCAAGTCGCTTGTGTCCACTCAACAAGAAAAATGCCAACTAAAAGCATTTTAAAGAATGTTCTTGTTTTTGTTTTCCACTTTCAACGGATGTGCTCATCCTGTGACATATTAGGTGAAAGCAATACTACTATTCTCTACTTGCACAAATCCCATAATACACCTCTTTTACCGCCACCCCCCCCCCAAATTTTGCATATTCATTGTTTGCAATTTCTCCTGAGACATGAAGATGTCCCAAGAGAAATCTGAAACAATGTCCTCGCGTATTTTGGGGGGTAAAAGGAGTGTATTATGGAATTTGTGCAAGTAGAGAATAGTGTAGTGTGGAAATGGAATGTTTTCTATTGTAACAAAGCGCAACCACCTCCTTTACTTTCACGTAGGATACCAGAACATAGGTACATCATGTAGTTCATGTTGTGTTCAAGATGTGATTTTTGCTGTTTAGAGGAATATGCTTCTTTTAGTTTTTACCATATGAGTAGGATGTAAATTCAAAGATAATTGTTTTGTTTGGGTAAAAATACATCTTACTTCCCCTGCATTTGATGAAAAAAAAACATTGCCTCATGAGGAATTTAAAAAAATGTCATGTTTATTCTGTGCTTGTACCCCAATGCATGCATATTCTTCGAAACAATAACAATTTTTATAATACATTGTAAATATCCTGTTTTGGTGAATTTCTCTTTATTCTATCTGGTATATCCTGTGAATTATACTAATATGACTTGTTGACAGATGATTTCAATAATAATTTGTAATTTTTTATGATCTAGATTTTACAATTTCATAAATATTGTACTATCACTTTACTACCTTGACAAATAATCCTCAGGAAAATACTAGCTATTGCAAATATCAATTTTTTAAATTATGGCAGTCCGTATAAAAACCACTGAACATTTTTCAAAAGTGATCGGGACTATTTTGATTTTCCTTTGTTTAACCTGTAAAACAAAACATTTGGGACCATGCAGCTTTTATACTAAAAAAATAAGTCATCTTTTTTCTTCAATCCTATTGGGATCCTTATTTAGAAGCAGGCCAGGTAGCAAGGGCAAGGTCTCCTATGTCGACTTTGTAAACCTGGAAACAGAAGATGAAATATGATGTAAATGTATAGAGCTACAAGCTCTGGATCTTAATAACTAAGGGAATCAAACGAAGGCATTGTGGCTGAGGGACACACACTCACCTAGAGCAAGGGCATCTACATGTAGTTGTCCTATAAACAACTACCCCCGTACTTCTCGAAGGAAAATCTATCAGGCCTTCTGCTTCTTCGTATATCTTAAGAAGGATCACTGACTGCAATTAAAAAATATCACACTCACCTGTGCATGTGTTGGATCCGGTTTGTCCACCAGAGCACCAGGAATAATCTCCCTTATCACCCTCTTCAGAGTAGAAGGGAAAACATATGTGGGCTTTCCAACATCAGCCCCTAGGGTTTTCTTACTTCCAAACTATGAGATGTAAACATAGGAAATTAACAAGTTAGTTCCAAAAGAGTCTTTGTGAGGGAAATCATTTTATTAGGGGTACTATGTAGTCAAACTCTGAAAACCTACAGATGTAATCAAAGAGGCAACTGTTCAAAGCAGCACTAGGAATGAGTGGACCACAATAACAAATTAATAAAATCCACTTCCTCCAGTGAAGCAAGATGTTCAACCTCATGGAGAGCTAAGGTACTGTATGAAACCCTTTTGATTTCCAGGCACTAACTTTTTGACCATGAACATTTGGGAAATATCCAAATCTTTACAAATACCTAAATACTTCTGTTGGTGACATTGAAAAATTGCCAATTTGATGCTGGAAGATTGACTATCTATAGGCTCCAAGTTCTGGTCAAACAGGAACACATGAACAAAATGAGGAGACTACAAACAATTATTATTGCTGAACATTCAGAGGGATGAATTTTGTGTTTGAAAGTTACGCTTGACTACAAAATCCAGGACTAATCGCGGACTATGTGACTTGCGCCCACCACTTATGTTTCATTCCACAGAGCGCTCCGATCTAAGTAAGCGAGCCGGAAAAAAGATATCCTGAACTCTGAAATCGTCTGGACACTGTTCAACTTACCCATAAAATTGCCCAGATGCGTCTGTATAGCCTGGCACGTCCTTGCTCGGGGGTTTCACCAGGCTTCAAGGCAAAGGCACGCAATAAACGAATAAGGCCTTCGGGTTTCTGAAAGCTGTAAAAATGCAGGATTTCACAATAGAGCTTCCTGGAAAAATAGCTGCACACAGCATGATTTCGTAAAAACCTAACCATTTCGCTTCAAAAGCCACGAATGCAGCCTCTCGCGAAGCATCAGACATCCCCGCCATCTTGACCTGTCTTGACCTTTGGTCCACGAGATTTGGAAGAAAACCGCTGCCTCAATCCTTGCACACTCATAACCTACCTAGTGACCGACCCAATCTCCTCACTCGGTCAACTGAACGAACTTCCGGTAAAATGCCAAACTTCAGCGTTTATTTGTACTTTGCCGTCCGTTTATTTCGGGTTAAAACCACGTTTTTTTAATATTACATGGCATGAGCTACAACTAGGCTGAAAATGATCTTGTTTATGCACCTATCAATGTAAAGCTGGCGGGGAAGGGCAGGGCATGGGGTGGGGATTTGATTTTCTTTGTTGGCCCTGGGGTAGGGCATTTGACTGATCCTGTTCTCCCAGGGGAGGGGATATTTGAATCTTTCTTTGCCCGACGTCGAGATATTTGACTGCCGACTCAGACAAAAAAAGACTGAGACCGAAGTTATGTTTCCCGCTTTCACGCTTCACGCATGCGCCGTACGGTTTGAAAAGATCAGGAAGTCATGGAGGCCAATGAGAACAAGCGAAGGCTGAGTGGATTTCACTGTTTTGTCTTCAAATTTCGTTTGTTTTAGCGTGTTAGTGATCAATTGAACCTCTTAAAATACTGTGGTATCAAAGTAAACGGAAGTAAAGAGAAACCAAGTCGATTTTTGCAAGTACAATTGATTAGTGTATGGCTTATTCGCTACATTCACTGTAAACTGATAAAACTGACTTTCTTTGTACCTTTTACTAAGAACGGTATATTTAAACTTACAAAATGTGGACTTTCTCCTAAAGGTTTATGTATTCTACGAAGTGTAACACGGATTATGGTTAAAACGTATAATTGCAGCTGTAACAGGAACATGTATCTTTGGTGATGCAGCAACGTTTATAAAAGATTGCAGAGTTTTATTTAGAGATATTTTTATTGTGCCTTTCTTAGGTTCTGCCTTTGGATTGACAGCAATGTGCAGCCCGGGGTGGGGAAATTTGGTTGCATTTGACTGGAATGATTTGCCCGTGGGCAGGGAATTTGATTGAAAATTTTTGACAAAAGTCAAATCCCCATCCTATGCCCTGCATCCCCCCCCCGCCGGTATTACATTGATAGGTGCATTAAAAGCATGAAATTTTCCCGGTGCAACTACCTTATTGTTGCTTGCAAGGTCTTTAAAAAAAGAACGTTTCCCCTCGTGCACATACACCAGGTCCTGATCAGGGGGCCAAATTTGAGCACTTGGCGGGGTAGGTGGACCAGGTAGCGCTCCTTTGGGATCAACCTTGCTCCGTATTCATTTCTAAACAAAGATAAATGTTCGTTTATAGCCGTTTTTAGGTACATAACACTTTCAGTGGATATTTTTTCAGAAAAAGCTATTCCCAAGGGGTGCTGTTTTTGTCCACGTACTTCGCAAGGATCATCAGGAGAATAGAGGCGAGTAGCCACAATTTTTTATGCCGTTTGTCCCAAGTTGGTAGCACTTTCTCTCTGTACTTTCTTATGGGCGTAGCCTAGAGGGAATTTTTCAATGTTTTTGTTGAGCATCGCAAGGGAAAAATATCTCTCATCTACGCAATGTCTCAACAAATACTTTATAAGTAACGTCAAAGAACGGTGCCTCAATGAGTTTACTTCGAAATGTTACACCACATTTTTGGGAATAAAATTCCTTTAAAAAGTTTGTTGGAGTAGTCTCAACGAGTTCAACTTGAACGGCGTGGTCCTCTTTCGTTCTCAAATTAAAATCCTCTTCTATAAACAATTCTTGCATCCTTTCACAAGTAGCATTACAAACGTGGCATTTTCAGAAAGCCCCACCAAAACCTTCTTTAAATCCACCGCACAACTGACTCGCTGGGGTGTCGGCCAGCAGGGCTAATAGACTTCCTCTGAGGCGAAGAACCCCACCGTATACTTGGAATGGGTATCCATTTCCACGTACTTTGAAATCTTCCATGACTGGTGAAAAGATGGCATTTATTCCATATTTCATGTAGCTAGTGTTGCAGATTGCCAGCAAATGAACTGATTCAAGTTTGGATCGGTGGATGGGCTTTATATTAGCTAGGTTGTAATAAAAAAAGCTTAGCTTGTGTAATTTGTTTGTTAAAGGATTGATAATATTTACATCATAATAGAAACGCAGCCATGAAGCGCTGTCATCGCAGGAGAGAAGTTCATTCTTGAACAAAACTGCCTTCTGGGAAATCTTCGAACGTGTTAGCAACTTGGCTCAACTGTGGACCATCAAGAATCATACGGATTATGTTTTTCGACAATAGCTAAGCTTACAAGGTTTTGATGAGGAGAATATAATAGAACTCCTCTTCCGTGAGAACAATTCTCTTCTTGTTGCCCACCTTTTTGTTCCGTCGTTTTCGTCCAAGAACTATCTTTATATTAGCTAGGTTGTAATAAAAAAAGCTTAGCTTGTGTAATTTGTTTGTTAAAGGATTGTTAATATTTACATCATAATAGAAAAGCAGCCATTAAGCGCTGTCATCGCAGGAGAGAAGTTCATTCTTGAACAAAACTGCCTTCTGGGAAATCTTCGAACGTGTTAGCAACTTGGCTCAACTGTGGGCCATCAAGAATCATACGGATTATGTTTTTCGACAATAGCTAAGCTTACAAGGTTTTGATGAGGAGAATATAATAGAACTCCTCTTCCGTGAGAACAATTCTCTTCTTGTTGCCCACCTTTTTTGTTCCGTCGTTTTCGTCCACGAACTATCTTCCTTGGTTCCTTGGAGAGAACAATGAAAAAAAATGTACTAACTCCTTTTTACCGTTATTCGTAGTCTCAATTTCGGCAAGTAGGCATATAATTGTAATCGTTTTTGTTAATGTGGCTGGGAGTTTGAATTGACTTTTCAATTATTTGCAAATTAGGAGGACCAGGACCATTATATAAAATTTCATGTTTATTAGAACTATTCTTCATTTAAAGAAAGGTCTTCCTTATCAGCAATATATGTTTTTATAAGTCATTCAAACCCGCTGAGTTTTATAGGGTATTAAGGTAATTACACATGATAAAATTAAAAGTCAAGAGGACAATTTGCCTACTGGTATATTATTAACTTGTTTCGCTCTAGTAACTCCCTTCCTCTAATCTAACCACAGGTCACCCAAGGTCGAAATATGAGCAATGCCAAGCATCGGCATTGTTGCGCAACATTCGAAATATTAAGATTTGTATGGGAAAAAGTTCACATGAAATCCTTTCATTTTTATAGGTTACAGGAACGATCTAGGTTTTTTCCATACAAATCCTTATATTTCAAATGTTATGCAACAATGACGACGCTCGCAGATGTTCATATTTCAAGCTTGGGCTACCTGTGATCTAACTGAGTCTTAATTGTCAGCTTCGTGGTGCTACCGTCTTAAAGTACTGTCTGCATGTTTACTTGCTGTGCATTGTAATGAAACAGCTTATAAAAATGAAAACCTCCATATTTACCACATATGAGAGATTGTTGTTTCCTTCCTTTGGTCTTTCTGCTATGTCGGATCATATTGTGTCAAATGTTGGTCTGGCATTGTCAAAGCAGGCTTCGTAACCTTCAATACTGTTCACGTCGAGGCCTGCTTCAGTGAAACATTCATCAATTTTGCACTTTAAAGAGTGTAACGACTCTCGTATATATAATTCTGTAACATGAAAGATCTGTCGTGTGCACCTTTGAGAACGTTTGTTCTCTTCTCTGATTTTTACCAAGTATTTTTTTGCCACTTGGTCTGTGTTGTGACGATCACTACGTGTTTGAACCACTGCAGGGCTAAGGGGCGTCCATGTTTCCTCGCTGTCCTTGAAATCGGCAAAAAGAGATTCCTCAGTCAAACTATGTTACTCTGCTGCCTCTCTTTCGGAGTCTGTACTGACGGTATCTACTAATGAAATTAAATAGAAATCATCAGTCTTACTCAGTTGAGGTGGTGGTAGCTGGTGTCCAGACGTCAACACGGAAGACTTAATTAGCCCTTCCGCTTCTGATGTGAACGTTTGAAAGAAAAAACTACATTTCATTCTATAGAGAAAAATAAATAATACCCTACAAAGTAATGGTTAAGACGGGTTTCATTTAAATACCAAGGCTGTACCATTTCAGCTATATACAGGCTCCAATTAATGAGAATTAACATTTTTCCTTTCAAAAATTGCTTCTGAGAGTGCGAAGGACAACGGGAGCTTCCATCTGAGCCGAGTGAAATGCTTTCAACACATTGTCCAAGGTACACTTGCGATCAGGATTTGAATAGCTTAAAATACTGGAGACCAATAGTAGTGCGGTGCCAAAGGTGCATGAACCAGTGAGAGAGGCCATGCCCTCCAACATTATTTTTGTCAATAAACTGAGGCCCTTGAGAGGGCTTAGCCTGATTTTTTCTTAAGTTAAAGTGGCTGGGTATTGGCCAATTTCCCATTCCCTCTATGAATGGAAAAGTAGTCTCCACTAAAAGAGGGTAATGAATTTATTAAGCCATCTTAACTTCGCACAAAGACTAAGCAAAGGTTAAACTAGTTCCGCCAGGACGAATTCCTTGGCAGGAAAACAGTTTTATCAAGGCCACTTGAGTTTCCCGCCGGCCATGAAACAAACTTTCTCCTAACTGACATGCGAGTAAGCACTTTACTTGGGAACTCACAGAAGGCCAAGATTACGTGTGATATAAGAATTAGTAGGACCAATTAATCACTTCATAACTGATTTCATTTCAACAAGTTCCAAATCCAAGCTTTCTCAATAATCTAATTTCGAATTTGTCGTGGCTGCTGTGCCGCTGCATTGTATAGGGTTAGCCTTGACCTAAAGTAAAATATAGACTAATACCGGCGAGAAAGTGCAGTAAATTGAAAGCAAGGTCTTTGGGACGTGTTATATTTACACTGAGACGAGGCTAACCCTGTGTCAGAATGAGTATTCCATGACTTCAAACATCTCACGCCTCAGTTACTATGCATTAAAATCATTCTAAACATCATCCCAAAATGACTCCAAACCAATTGAGTCATCTTTTTGTTTGAATCAGTAAAATCTAAGCTAGATTTTTAAAAATGTGCGGAAATAAAAGGAACAACATGTTCAAAATGTCCGCTTACTTCTTTAAGCACACTTGCGCTGTATTTCGTCTCTTGCTATTTGGAACTAGGAGTTCATCCCTGTCATCTTTTATAATTACTGGTTTTAAGTTATGTATAATCCTCTCTTGAATTTTTAAAGTTGCTCTCTATTATTGACGTCTTGCTGGTATTGACTGAATATGGCAAGTCTGTTTTTTTTTAATGTTTTTCATTTGCGGCTTGTTTCATAAAGTAAGAGATATACAGCCACGCGAAAGCTGAACCGAGGATGAAACAAACGATCGGGGTTTTCTCTTTTGTCCTTGCGTGTCTTCTCATTTGATCTCGCATACGGGGTGACTCTCCAACACACACTCAACAGATTTGATCCATTCACGCAGTAATCCCATGTGATGATGAATTTTAGTGAAACTTTTGGTTAGATGAAAAAAGGATTCTTGATCTATTGACAAACTCTTAACGTCTATTAATATCTAAGTGTACCTGTTTCATCATCTGGAGTTAAAAATACTGGTTTGCCACCAGTCTCAGTTGGTCCACAGCATTGAAGAAATGCTGCATGCCTTTCATGGGCATGTGCAGCAAAAGAACTGACCCTTTGATAGTCTTTTTCACATCCATTTAAACCATCGCTCCACCCATTTAAACAATCGCTCGCAACCACCAAGCATTACACTGCGACTTGTGCGGCCTAAATTACCACATGAAATGTGGTCAAGTGACAGCCAGGGAATACAAATCTATTCAATTAAGAGACCCGAAGACATGGATTTGCAATAGCTGTTTATTAAACCAACCCCTGTCTGCCTGTGGATTCGACGAATCTGACCTGCTTACAGCTTTACCTTTCAGTTCATTGTCAGACGACTCGTTTTCTTCAGTGATCGGGACTCATACACCGCCACTTTCTGACATACTTCCCAAAGATGACGAATGCGAAAGTCCTTTCACTGACCTAGTCCATCAACTGTCTAAATGCTCAGCTAAAGATCTAAAGGTAGCACATTTGAACATCTGCAGCTTAAGAAACAAAATCGACGAATTAAGATGCTTGCAGTTATTATGCAAATTTGAGGTGCTGGAAATAACTGAAACTCACCTCGATGAAACTGTGTTAGACACTGCCTTGAACATTGACGGGATGAAGCTATTACGACTCGACCACAAAGGACGCAAAGGAGGAGGTTGCGCTTTGTATTTTGCAGAACATTTACATGCTATTCATCGCAAAGATTTGTTTATTGAGGGTCTTGAAGCGATTTGGCTACAAGTCAAAACTTCTAGCACCCTGGCCCTATTTTCTGTCATTTACAGAACACCTGACGACAACCTTTTCTTTGAACGCATCAACACGCCACTTGAAAAAGCCTGGCTGAGATCTGAAAAGATTTTTCTACTCGGCGACTTTAACTGTGACTTTTCTTTTCAACGCGATCCAGATAACATCCTGCACCGAAACACAATCAAACTGCGGTCTATCTTTGAGTCGTTTAATATGCATAATATGATTCAGGAGGCCACAAGATCAACAATTTTATCACGCACATTGCTAGATCTCTTTGTAACAACAATGAAGTCAAGTCCTCGAGTGCATACTGGAATCTTCTTAAAAGGGCTACCAACCCCAAGGTCCGCAAAAACATCGGGCCCCTTAAGAAGGATGACAGCACCCTGGAATTTAC